CCTGCTGATAGGCATCAGGTGATGCCCTCAGTTTCTGTGTTCCCCCAGAACATAGAGGCACCTCAGCTCCGTGCCTCCAGTCTTTCCCCTCTTCTTTACTCAGTGCCCTGACCTCGCCCCAATTCCCACTCTGGCCTTGTTTGTTGTCTTGGAGCTGGAGAAGTCTGTGCTTCCACGAACCAAGCTAGAAGTCTCAGCAACCACTTTCTCACAGAAACATGAAATGGCAAACTGCTACTATTTGGGAGGTCAAGGAATGGAGTGCTTTCTGGAGACGGGCGGCTTGGGTGAGAATGGCATCTCTAGCGCTTAAATTGTGAGTGATCTTGGGCAAGGTACTGAACCTCATTTTCCTCCTCTTTAAAATGGGGACAATCACAGCTTCCACCTCTTAGGCTGTTGCGAGGGTGACATGAGACTGTCAAGCCCCCAGCACAGTACCCGGAGCCCAGGCGGTACCCAACAAGGACAGCCAGCCTCACACTGTACAGTCTCTTTGTTTAGCTCCTCACTGCCACTTTATCCCATATCCTGATCTAAACTAGTCCCCACGTGGCATGGTGATCATCTGAAATATAATTAAATCTGCACTCTTCTGTTGCAAACTCTTCCATCATATCTCACCGCTAGCAGAAAAATCCAGCCTGAGGCTCCTCTCACCTCTCCCCTCGCTCGGGGCTGCAGTTACCGTGGTCCTTGCACTGGCCGTTCCCTCTGCCTGGAACACTCTTCCCTGACCCTCAAAGTCAAGTCCAGTTCAAATGTCATTTCCTCAAAGAAGCCCTCTCTAATGGCCCCATCCTCCTTAGCACTAATCCTCAATCTGTAATCACTTTACTGATTTATTGCTCATGACCCCACGAGAAGGCAGCTCAGTGAAGCCAAGCACTGACTGAATGGATGAAGGATGCATTGTTATCCATGGGGCTTGAGTGCTTTCGAGATTAAGCTGCTTTGGTGGCCTGCCCGGACCTGACCCCCTGGCCACCACTGTTGCAAGTTCCAAACCCATTGTAAGGTAAGGCATGGCCACCTAAGCATAAACAAATGTTGCACAGTGAGCCCGGAAGTCCAAGGTAAACACTTTTATTCTCAGTTCTGCCTTAGCTGTCTCTAGTTTTGCAAGCATGGATAAATGGAATCAACAAGAATCCTCTCCCTAAATGTCTTTCAATAAAATTTGTCACCAAACAAGTTACCTGTTTTGCCTAAAGAGAGTGTGATTTGAAAGTGGCCTAAATGAGGCTTGACCACCGCAGTATATCAGGGTTAATCCTGCTTCCGTGCCAGTTCCTCTCTCACTTGGCAGCAAATAAATAGTTGCCCAGCAGATCTGCCCTTCCAGCCAGGTAAAGAACTCAGTGAGGAAGGGAACCGCGAGGGGTGCGGCGGGCACAGAATCCTGAGCCGTTTCCGCCCACAGCAGGGCAGACCCGGGCAGAGAAGGAGATGAGGCTTCATTCACGGCCTCCAACTCGGCGCATCCAAAAGCCAAATGGGTCCGGAATAACTTGTCATTCCCCCTCGAGTGCCCTTGGCCGGCAGAAAGGGGAGCCAAAGAGCGGGAATAAATGTTCTCCAGAGTGCCCCACTTTCTGAGGAGTACCCAGAGGGGGACCCCTACTCCCAGCCAGGAAACTACAGGGGTAGGAAGGGGATCCATCCCCTCAGAGGCCCTGGGTGCCTTCCAGGGCCCATCTTTCTTCCTGCTCCTCAGAAGCCCGGGCCCCGCATGTTTCACAGGACAGTCTCTCGGATGACGCCAATGAGGCTGTGTGGCCTCTCAGCCTCCGCTCGCCGGGGCCTCCTCTCGGCTTTCGGCCTCCCCGCGGGGACAAAGGTGCTCAGGTCTCCGCAACTCCGCAGGTGCAGCAGGCCAGGCTGTCTCCTCGAGGGCAGCACGAGGGCCCTGGAAGTGCTGGGCTGCATCGGGCCCATGATCTTTGGGAGAATAAACAGGGTGACAAAGAGGTTAAGCTTCACCAGATGTGATCCTCAGACCTGCCTCCTACATTTATCCATTTAGTTTAGCTGCCTTGGGAAAGAAAAAGGGTGTTTTCCCAAGGTGGAACCCACTTGGAATTCCAGAGAGTCTCTTAACATGTTAGCTCTTTCCTGAAGTTCCTGAGAAATACCCCCAATTTTCTATTGTTTCAGCTGTAGACCTACCATGCTTAACTATTTGTCTATTGCAATTTCCTGCTTTATTTGTTAAATTTATTTATATTTTTGGCTGCGTCGGGTCTTAGTTGCAGCACAAGGGCTCTCTTGTTGAGGAGCACGAGCTCAGTAGTTGTGGCACGTGGGCCTAGCTGCCCCGCGGCATGTGGGATCTTAGTTCCCCGACCAGGGATCGAACCTGCATCCCCCCGCACAGGAAGGCAGATTCTTTACCATTGCACCACCAGGGAAGTCCCTCCTGCTTTATATTTAACATTCTTCTCATCACTTTTTTCCCAACTTCCCTGTGGTCTAAGCCACTGATTCTCACTGGGTCTGCACATCACGAGAGGGGAGGGGAGCCTGTCAGAAGAGTGGATTCCCTGCTCCCCCCTAGCAATTCTGACATGGGAATCTGGAACGGGGCTTGGGCATCTGTATTTTTAACAAGAACTCAGGTGATCCCGTTATACTTGAAAATTGTAAAACCACCGGTCTGCTTAAGTTTATAAAATGTCAGCTAAAACTAATGATGCTTCTAATTGATCTGATAACTCTTCAATTAAGAAAAAACATGATAAACAACATAAAAACTAGGCCAATTTATTTGTAAAAGCTGTTAAGAATGTTTCTACTGCTAGATCTATTTTGCAATGCAGCACATACATAACTTTAAATATATCATGTAACAGCAAAAATGGGCAATCCCCGATCCAACCGAGATTGATAAGAGGAGAACTGCTGTGTACATACAGTTTTTAAAATTACACAGTCATGTCTGTATGACCTATATTGCTGTTAGCACGTTGGGAAAAACTCAAAGTGCTTTATTACCATCTAACATCACAGAACGATCATTGGGGTGTCTTTCTGTTTAGTTTCCACCATTCTGAGATTTTAAGGTTAATTCCCCCAAAAGATGGGACATCAAATTTTTCTAACACTCTGTTATTATATTTGTCTTTAAGGCTGTCTTTGTTTCCTGAGTAAGAAGAAAATTCCAACATTCATAGATGTCTACTGTTATTACATGGTAAGTTAGGACAAGTGGTTTGGATATTGGTACAAAATTAAAATGGATATAAAAACACATCCCAATACTACTAGAGAAGGTGAAAATGTGCAAAGCTGGGTAGAGTCAGAAATAAAAGCTCCCTTGTCCTTGTCCCTGCCTCCTTCTGTCTGGGGGATGGTGTGGCATTATGATACCTCACCACTGGGATCCAGTTCTGGAAGCCCTGGCAGATGGCCCAGAGTCTACTGCAACAATCCCTGTACCTGAACTTTGATCCAGTCTGTGCACAAAGACCTCTCAAACATTTATAGTGATAGCATCTGTTGAACTATAAATGCTTGTTCTCTTTCCCCAAAGCTACTTTCCATCAAGCAAGACTTTGCGGAAGGTCCAGACCAACAGCTCTGCAGATGCTCCAGCTCTTACCTCACCAGAACTTGGCAGCGCCAAATACTTGCTTCTGTTTTTCAGGCAACTGGGGTGAACAGAGGGAAGGAGGCAGGGAATGACATCTGGAGGAGACCAGGGACATGTGCGTGTAAATCTCTCTCCTACACAGGCTACCAACTGGAGCCTGACCTAGGACTACTGGTTGACCACTGTTTTAGAAAGCAAACAACAGAAGGGCCCATGGTTCATGTACCTCTTCACATGAGTAATCAGACAGTTCTGCTCCCCACGGTCCCCTGAGGGATGGGACAGAATCTGGCTTCTGGCTTCTGTAAGAAGAGGCCAGCAGGTGGGAAGGGGGACAGAAAGGAAAGTGAGATGGGGATTTGTTCAATCTGCCTGAAAAACGTACCTAGGATCCAGTATCTGGCAATGACCCTGAGAATCAGGCCAACTCCACTCAAGAAGTATTTGATGGGCACGTAATACCCACAGGCACAGCCAAGTAACACCCGTGAGCCACTGTGCACTGAGGTCTCCAACGGCCACCCCACAGACATGGAGCTACAGAGCAAACACCCAAAAGGTAAACGCTGCTTTTGAAAGATGGTTGAGGAAAGCTGCGACCCATTCCCACTTCTCATCAGAGGGAAATTCCATTCACTCAGAGATACGGGTGCAGAGACCACCTAGTCCAACACTTCACTTTAAAGATGAGAAACCTGACACGCAAGTGGAATATTTACGTGCCCGGTTTTACCTTTTCACAGGCTTCTTGTTTGGGGATTGCCGTGTGTTTTTTAATAAATGGAAAGGAGAAGATGTTTGTTCCTTTAAGTCTATCAGCTTAGGTAATCTTGCCAAACATTTCATGGGAACGTGAACGGCTCCCAGAATCTTGCCAGTATTAAAATTCACATATGTCCATCATTGTCGCAGGGCTGAAAAAACATGCCAGATCAAGGGGAACGTTCAACTTAGGAAATGGAATGTTAAATGTACTCCACACTGCCCATAGCCCTTGCTTTCATCCCTGAGCTGCTCCCTTCTCTTTTTTCCAAGCATGCTTCCATATCTCGGAAAAATCGGTTTCTCTTCTCTTGGGCCAAGAAGGCTGTGGCAAAGTCACATGTGGAAAGAAAGCACGCAATTTCCTCCTCTCCTTCCCCACACCTCCTAACCCCATTCCCCTTGGTACAGTGACCATGAACTTTCTGTGCCTTCGACAGGAAACCAGAGAAGCCGCTTCAGCCGCTATGGAAACAAGTCATCGGACACATGCCTGATATTAATAATAAAACTACCTGTTCTAGAAAACTGGCACTTGTGATGGCTTCCTCCATGTACTCCTCATCGGACTTCAAAACAGATTTAATGTTTTCTACAAGTTCATGGATGTCCGGGGTCATGCTGCAGGAGGACTGCTCCAGGAACCTCGCCACCAGCAGCTTGGTGTCCATGTAAGATTTGTAATCTATTAAAGACCTCGGTCTGCATCTCGAAGCTCGGGATCTCAACCCTCTTCTCAAGGTCACCGCAGCCAGGTCTGGTCTTCCCTCAGTCTGAGTCGCGGCTTCACAGCTGAGCACGGGGACGGCTGTGGGCAGAGACAAACAACACGCACCTTTTGGCCAAGCCCCGTGAACACACATCTGTACTTGAAACAGCACAAACCACGAAATTCCACGTGGAAAACATGTGACAAATGCTGACGGCCATGCACACCTTGCTTTTCCTCTTGCAGGAGGGAAAAAAAAAAAAACAACCCCAACACCTATGACACGAGCTTACTCCTTGAAGTGTAATTTCAATAGGACACGTGCCCCAAATATTTTATTGTGCCACATAAAACACAACCATCAAGGTAAAGACAGATGACAGAGAAGAGCATCCAGAATGCAAATCATGATGGAGCAATGGTTTCATGGGGTGATCACCAATATATAGGGATGGTTTGGGCAGGCAGAAAAAACACGGTTGACTGATGGAAGAATGTTCTGGGGAGAGGATGAAGAAGCCATTGGAAGAGAGGAACTGAGGAGAGACGAGACTTGTGGGATGAACCGAATGCCCTGCTCACATTGACTGTACCTTTGTCCTAAACATCCTCAGGGGCACTGTACTGACTTATAGTATCGACGTCACACCATGGCTGGGAGGTGGCGCTAGGGCTATTACAGAAAGAGAAATCTAGTGCAGAAAAAGTACACGTCATTCTGGAAGTCAACAGAGGGCCTGGGAAAAACCCACCACAGGCTAATTTCCACAACTACTACCTCAGCGAGGGTATAAGGACTGGCAGGACATTACTGCACCGGCAGATGGGTGAAGTGAAATCAGGCCTGGTCTGCACACGTTCATAAGCCAGCCAGCAGCCTTCAGTGTACACGACACTGGAGATTTCAGTCTGTGAAGGTCTGGCAAGCAGGAATTTAGATATTCAAGGAAGAAGGGAGGCAGGGGGTGGGAAAACAGGTGGAGGAAGGGGAGCATTCCTTTTCCTCTGGAGAAAGGCAGGCATGAGGAGTTCTAAACAGGGGTTGGCAGCCATCTTCCTCGGCTGCCACATGCACATCACAGAGAACCTGACTCTTCGTGGAACACTCACTACAGACACTCGTGTGTGAGGACTCAGTCAGGGACTCCACGGTCGCTTGAAGGCGACCTGGTCCCTTCCACAGCAGAGGACTCCAACAGGTAAACACATGTCATCCTTGCCCCTGCAGCGCTGCAGAAGGGGAGCGGGTTCTGGAAAGATCTCGTTAAGCTGTGTAGACAGCCAAGTTCCTGTGGAAGCTGCAGGTGGCCATCCCGAGTCCTCAGCTTGCCAGGTGGGGCAGAGGACCCCACGGTGAAGACACGTCCGGGGAGCTGAGGGGCCAGAGGGCGCTCAGTCCCGGGCAGGACTCCTCCCCGCTCAGAAGCTGCTGGAGAGACAAGAGGAGTGTTCCCTCTGGCTCCCACACGGTCAGTCCAGAGCTGTAGCAAACAACACAGGCTGTCAGGGGGACAGAATACAACTAGGAGGTGACGTGGGGCCCGGGACAGAGCAGGACCAGAGGGTCTGCAAAGCTGTATTTGCACAGAGCTTGAAGACAGCACAGGCAACTTGTTAGGACAAGTCACCGAAAGAAGCCTGTGCTGGTGGGATTACAGACTTTCATTTTCTTCCTTTATTTCCTCTATTTTTTACAATTCTCTACAAGGAAGAGGTATTTGAAGATGTTCAGGCAGTCATATATTCAGAAAAGAAGATTCAATGTCATTTTCAGTTTAAAATTTTTTTTAATTAAAAAAATTGTAACTATTAAAATTTTAAATTATTCAAATAACATCTATACACAAACAAACTCAAAACAGAAAGGGAGAGAGATGGAGTGTGAGAGCTTCCCTCTATCCAAAGTCCTTAAAGCAAGGTCAGATTTAAATAATTCAATCTACTCATACACAGTAAAAAGATAACTAGTGTTGAATTTCAGAAGAGGGGGGTAAAAAATACACCCCTTTGACTTTTTCCTGGAGAGAGAATGTTCATTCCCACAGGACTGGGAGCATCTAGAAATCAGAACTAGGTTTGCACTGTCTTCTTCGTGTGGTACCCAGCACAGTATCACGTGCAACCAAACGCTTCTGATGACAGTGACTTGACAAGAAAAATTCTTACCAGCCTTAAAAGACATGGTAGATGTCTATCCTTAATGTGCATGCAGAATACCTGATTTTCCCAAGCCCTGTTAGCCCCCTCCAAGCTCTCTCTTGAACCCCAGGGCCTTGGGTGGCCAGAGCCACTCAGCACCCATAGGCAAACAAGCACAGCGCCCTGCGAAGAACTTGGGAAATGACATCACCTCTCTCTGCAGAATGATGAAGCACAGGGTCACTCTTGGATCTTGTCCTCGGGGGCTGGAGAGCTCTCCGGTTCCTCGCCGGACATAGCTGGCTGGAGCTGGGAGTCGATATGGATGCGCTTTCTTCTCCAGGTGTGTTAGGAATGTCCCCACCTGATTTTTTTTTTTTAAAGAGGAGAAACAGAAATCATTTCTGTTCAGCTGGCACCTTCAAAATGTTGGGCAGGAAACACCTGTGAGCCCAAACCTTCTGGGACAAGGGTAATACAGTTCATAATATTTGCTTAGGCTGTGGGCCCAGTAAGTTTTTATCTTGCAGCACCGTGGGAAATGCTGCCTCCTCAAACTACCCCTCCACACCTAAAACAAACAAACAAAAAGCTTTAAATCCAGGAGCAGAAAAAGAAGCCATGCTAAAATGCCTAAAGGTGCTTGGCGTCTTCTCCAGTGGAGCAGCCTCGTGCAGCACTGTAAAGGTCCTAGCCGTTTTACCCTTTCTGACAACTCAGGCTGACCTTGATTAGGTGGAAGGTGATGCGGGTACAGGCAGGGTGGCGGCCCTGGGGCTGCAGGCCAAATGCAGGCAGAGGGTGTGTCTACAGGCTAGGCTGGGAAACTCCCGGAAAGCCAAGTTAAAGAGCCAGTGGCCACTAAATGAATCAGTCAAAGCATTCTGGAATTGGATGACTGCTGTTCAGGAAAATAAAGTCCCATCACTTGTGAGCCTGACTCGTGGTGTGGGAAACTTTTTTAAGAAATGGAAGAATTAAAAACATACTTAGGAAACAGAACCCTGCTGCATAATTCTACTTAAGATGGAAGGTGAACAGAGCAGAAACCCATTCTAAATGGCGCTGCTGAAAAATTACCTCCACCTAAAATAGCTGAAAGTTGATCCATTATTTATCACCATCTGCAATTTTGTCCTGTGGACAGTTCTCTGGGCCATTTAAAACCTCTTCAAAGAGAGAAAGCGGTAACAATGTTCCCTTAAGTTACAAGGATAACTGTAAACGGACTCTAGTATTTAATGCAGGATTGCAAATCAGCATTCAGTACATGTGAAGGTAGTATGACCTGGGTCCTTGGTTAAAAATGAGCAAATCACTCTGCGATAGGTAAAACTCTTTTTGTCTCTTTACAAGAGCTTATCTTATTTTAACAGGAGAAAAAAAATCTTAGATCAGAAAACACAGGAAAACCAAATTAAACTCTGTAATCCATTTCTGAAAAGTCTGGTTATTCATAAAAGATTCTAAAGATATCTTTATTTCTGTTCACATATTATTTCCTACTTGTAAGCCCTAAGAGTTGATAATATTTTTATACCCAGAAAAAAGGATATAGCTTGAACTATTTGCTCCAAGAATATTTGACCTCCAACAAAATATCGTACAGATGATTATTTTACCATTTTTAGTCTACTGAATCATGAGTTTGGGCAGCAATAATGTATTTAGTACCTTGAATCACTGGCATGCAGATGGGTTCCAAGGGGCTGGTGGCAGCTTCTGATCCTTCTGGCATTTGGAATGAAGATCCCTGCAACACAGGAAAAAAGAGGGTTGTCTGTTGATATTCAGCTCAACCATCATCTGGACTGGAGTGAACTTGAAAAGATCTACAGGGCATGGTCCTTTCCCCACCCCGCTCTCTGTGTGGCTGCTTTTCCTACTTGCTGTCAATGTACCAAAGAGAAACTCTATGGACAGTACCTGCTGCTGGTCCGTCTGGCTCACCACAGCTTCATAGGGAGGCGGGGGGTCCAGAGGACAGAACACTTCCACGCCTTTGATTCGCGCTCCGTAGATATGTGGCAGTGGTATAACATCAGGACCAACCATCCTAGGAAGAGCATCCTGGCATCAGGAAGTCTGTTCTGGCCATCTGATGGTAGTGGCTCCGGCATACTGGCCTTCACCTCTAGAGGGTTATCCACTGATAATGGGGAAAATCACTCGCCGCTCCACGCTACAACCTCCTGGTCCAGGAGCAGGGGAATAACCTAAGCCGCTCTCAGATGGAGTGCCCAGAATTCTTAGGCAAGTGACAACACAGAAAATGCAATACCATCATTCCTTTTAAATTTACTAGTCAAAAAGCAAACAATAATCCATAAGAGACAGAAAGCAAATTAGTGGTTGCACAGGGGCTTGGGGAAAGGGGGGACGGGGAGTGACTGCTTAATGGGTACGGGGTCTCCTTGGCGGTGAGGAAAATGCTTTAGAACTAGACGGAAGTGATGGTTGCACCATACTGTGAATGTACTAAATGCCACTGAATTATACACTTTCAAAAGATTAATTTCATGCTATGTGAATTTTACCTCAATAAAAAACAAACAAACAAACTAAGGATTCAGGGAAACTCAATTATTTGTTACATTAGTACATGACAAAAGTTTCTTGCCCGGGTTTCCCTCACGTCTGATTCATGGTAGAAACTCACTATTTGTTAAATAAATGTTTGAAATAATGAATACATTTTTCAAAAAAAAAGTGAACAACATCACAGCTCAGAGACAAAGCAGCAATGCTGCAGGAGGAATCACAGAGTGCCTCTTCCTAAAGGGGGTCATTCAACAAACACTGATGGAGCGCTTGCTGTAGCTGTGGCTGTTGGCCTGTGGGTAAGAGACCTTTGAGAGCAAAAAATAAAAAACCCACAAGATTTTCCGCCAGCATTCACAGAAGGTTACACACACACGCAAATTATATACATAACAGAGAACCTAAATTTGAAAACGACAGTTAAAACTACATGAAAGTTTGTACCTTATGACAAAATTTCCAGTTATAAAATACATGCAGATAAGTCCTGGGGATGTAATATACACGGCATGGTGACTATGGTTAATAATACTGCATGGTGTATTTGTGAAAGTTGTTAAGAGAGCAGGTCGTAAAAGTTCTCATCACACACACACACAAAAACTTGTAACTATATGTAGTGATGGGTTAACTAGATTTATTGTGGTGATCATTTTACAATATATGCAAGTGTTAAATCATTACTTGTTTACCTATAACTAATACAATGTTATATGTCAATTATATCACAACTTTAAAAATACACAGAAGACAAAAAAAACTGTACTCAGGCCATGAAGTGTTGGAGAATGAAAAAAAGATAATAGCAAAAGTTTAACGTTTGTTCTTGAAATGCAAAAATGGACATAAACTAAAGGAGATTGATGAAAAGACAAATTCTGGGGCCAGCCGCCTACAAGGGACTGCTTTTGTTTTTGTTTTCGAAAGGTGCTCTCTGCTTTTATGCTTGTTTCATTTGTGCCCATTTACAAAAATGCAATTGGTGGAAGAAAAAAATTGAAAAAGATGTGATATTCTATCTTCCTAACAATAAAACTTCTGGAGTTCTGGGATTTAGAAGGATGAGACTCCTACAGCCTGAATGAAAAAGTGAGGAAGTGCTCCCCTTTTTTCCTGCATCTTTATTCAAAAACAAGACTCTCAGCTCACGCTTGACCTGAGAGGAAAGGAACAGGTCACGTACTGACACCCCAGGCAGGGATGTGTGCAGGCTCAGCACGTCTGAGGAGAGGCACCTGCAGGAACAGTCCCTCCCTAGCCTCGCTGGGAGGGGTCCTGGTAAAGTCACCAAGAAAGGGATATTCTTCTCCCTTAGAGGACGACTTGCCCATGGGTTTCACGCCAACTCTCCATTCCGGCTGAAGCTGTTTAAGAACTATAAACACCAAGTGACTCCAGGAATACAGACCCTTCGTGGACCTGACTTTGAAGACTTTCCTGACCAATGAACAAGGCAACTTGTTTTACTCACTGAGACCTATGCACTCCTTCCTTCGGCTCCAGAGGGCCAATCTTTAATCCTTAATTAGCATAATCCTGTGAGCATCTTTCCGGCACTTACTAACCCTTGCCTGTCCCCCCTCAGCCAACTCCCCATGCGTTTCTTCACTGCGGTGTCCTTGCCTGGAAAGTTCATCCCCCAGCTTTGCTTGTTAGCTCTGGTGCTGTATATTTCATATTCCCAACCCAGTGGCTACCTGTAAGTCCCTATAGAAGAGAGAGGGCTTGCTTAGGACCAAGAAGTGGGAGGAACGGGCTTCACTTTAGATCCTAAACTACTACAGAATCTCTTCAAGAAGGAAAACTGGGGGGAGAAAGGGGGTACGCTTTATCTAAATTGGCTGAAAAATGAATGGCTTCTATGGTGGCTATTACAATGACCAGCAAAGCCTCATTTAGATGGAAGATGCTGCCAGAGTTGATGTAGAAGGAAAGTTCCTTTCCTACTAAGCAACTTTGCCTTATTTGTACCACTTTTGGGTAAATAAGGATCCATGGAGGGAAATAGGTCTGTTTGCTACAGGTTTTGTTCGTGATCCCTTATGGTACTCAACCCAGCTATAGAGCAGAATCACCCAGGAGGGTTCCTAAACTGGGCATGGCCCAGGCCTTACCTCTAGAAATTCTGCCCTAGTTGCCTGTGGTGGGGCCCAGGTATCTGTATGCTGTCAGTGCTCCCAGGTGGTTCCAAGGCACAGCCAGGACTGAGACCACTGCTAAGCAAAATGGATTATGGTGGCTGAAATCGAAACCCTGTTATATCTGGGAAAGGTGATCAAACTTTTACTGAAAATGAGTGTCTTTAGAAAACTGTTGCCTGATAAGGTAGGGGTAAGATTAAGGGCTAAATGTTTCTTAAGAGTAAGAAACATGCCAAGAACATCTGAAACCATGCAACTAACAATGGTAGAGCACGGTCTAAGCTTTTGCTTGTAGAAAGATTTTAGCCCATTATCTCATAACAATCCTCTCAGGAGTCACATGACAAGGCAGGTGAATGAGGAAACTGAGGCTCAGAAATGGTAAGAGATCCACCCCAGGTGACTCTTTTAAGAGACTCCAGAGCCTGGGCTTATTCAAATTCATCCCAAAGTCTCCAGGAAACCTTCGCTGGTTCATGCTCATGAGACCTCAAGATGAACAGGAAACCCAAACGGATCGTGCAAAATACGTTCTGCTTTGATGCTACAAATAGGCCCTGAGAACTTACCCGAGGCTGATGGAGCAACGAATATGACCAAAGAACGATTCTCCTCTGTGTGCTGAGACAGCTTGGCCCTTCCACGGGGCACATGTTGGTAGGGGTGTGGGAGTGGGGAGTGAGGCAGGGTCGCCCAGCCCAACAGCTGAGCACAGAGTCAAGCCTAGGCACAGCCCAGCTCCACTTGAGTTTGGGTTTTGAAGTTCATTTGGAAAGGAAATGGGTGGGCCTTGTTGCTTTCACCTTAAGAAATGCCCAGGTCAACCTGGCTCCCATGCGCTCATCTTCAGTTTTCTCTAGCAGGTGACATCCCCACAGTATAAGCAGGTCCACATTCACGAAATAGGTTGGAGACTTTCCTTTTTGACTCCTGGCTCAAGCCAATTTCTGAGACTGGGGGACTCTCTGGAGTACAGGAGATGGGGTACACAGCCCCCTCCAGTACTTACAAATTGATTCACAAAGTAGATAACCATCTTTGGATAGAAGCCCTGACTGCAATCAGGCTTCTACTTATGAGAGTAACTTGAGAAGCCCTTTTTCAAGGAGATACCAATGCATGAAATGGTTGTATTTATAGAAGTTAAATAAATAAAGCTCTTCTGAGAGGTCCTAATACCTTACAGGAAAAGGGGAGCCTGTATTACGTGAAAACTCTTAACATAACTGATTGTGGAAATATTAATGAAAACATCTGTTAATATTCTTGCCTGCCTGCTTATAAGAAAGAAAATTACCAATTGGGGTTAAACAGCTAGTGTCTATGATGTTGATTTATACTGAGAATCTAGCAAAGTCAGTCAAATTTAAAAATATCTCTGATAGAAGATGTATCTAAAGGTGAATAAATTTAGCCATTTAAAAAAGGAGAGCGGGCAAGGGGCAGCGGGGGAGACAGGGGCATGGGATTAAGAGACACAAACCACTATGTATAAAATAGATAAGCAACACAAAATATTGTACAGCCCAGGGAAATACAGCCATTGTTTTGTAATAACTTTAAATGGAATATGACTATAAAAATATTGAATCACTATGTTGTACACCTGAAACTAATACAATATTGTAAATCAACTACAATTTTTAAAATATACATAAAATGTTAAAAAAAAAAAAAAAGAAAGTGGGCTGCATTCAGATATTGGTAGAATTTTAGAAAATGAGGCTTTTTGCCCATGGGAGATATGAGCTAGTGCTCCAGGTATATACTTTAGGCCAAGCATTCTTTTTCTCTCAAGGGTGCTCTGCATAACCCCCTCCCCCATATTCCTCTGGGAAGTTCTGGTTGGTAGAGCCCTTGATGACAAGCTTGTCTGTCTTCTTCCAACTCAGACTTGGCCAGGGGCTGGCTCAGAGCTCAGAGGGGCAAATCCAGGGATGCACCCAGGTCTTCAAAGACCCACAGTGATAAGCATGACTGTGGAGGTGCAGAGAAGAGAAAGGAAAGAGGGAAGAGGGGCCGGGGGATCCCACAGGTCAGCCCTACTTCTAAACCCACATGAGTTACTTTCCCTTTCTGCCACAGCATGAAATTAAATGTCTGCTGCCTCCTCTTTGGTCAACCAAGTGCTCACCCACAACCTCAGAGAGCCAAAGAACTCTTCTTGAAGAGGGCATTTCTCTCCCCAACCATGAAGTAACAGGCACTTTTACTGTCCTTCAATGTGCACTCTGCAGACAGCCTGAGATTGGGCTACGTTTTTAGCAAACGTGTCCTATGGTACACAAAGAATATGTGTTTTGTTGCTATGTCCCTCTGGCCTCTCTAAGTCTTGGCTCATTTCCTAAAAGACCAGCGAAGCCATCCTGGCCCCTGAAGCTTCGAAATTCCAGCCCACCAGTCCCTGTACAACAGGAAGGCTGAGCTGTCCCCCAGGCCATCTGTCCAGCCAGCTGATGTCCCTTCCAGCTTTGCAGTCATCTCTTATTTCTGCCGAGGTGGGTGGGCAGGGGAGGGGCTAGAGTGGGGTTTAGATATGAGTCTGAGGGACAAGCCAGGAAGATAACCCATTGAAAAGAACATTAACAGTGTCTGGGTGGGAGCTCCCACTGGTGACCTCTTTCAAAATGACATGTGGCTGCCCTGAGCACTAGAAAATGGATTTCCAAAAACCCCAAGCCTGACACCAAATTTGTCTGACAACTTTTCCACGTGTACCTCAGGGTTAAAAAGTAGAAATTCCAAGCCCTCTCAACAGCAAGGGAAAGACACTAGTCTTTCTTGGAGAATTCAGAGATTTGTTTTTTAGAAGTTTAAATGTAGGGTTTAAGTTTAAATGTAGGGTTGCTTTAGCCTTTAAATTCGGAGTAAGATCATCACTTCATCCTGGAAGCCAACCCTGACCAGCTGACTCTTCCTTCAAGCTCTCTGCAGCCCACTCACCAGTCTAGGTTAGGAAGTCCTCCTCTTGCACTCAAAATCTCCCTTTTGAGTACGACTGTGATCCTTTCAACACTCATTTTTCATGACCTAGACTGTGAGCTCCTTGATAGGGGGAGGAAGTTGGTATAACTCATTTTGAATTCCAATAACCCAGCACAGTAACTAGTAAGCAGCAGAGGATGGATTAAATGTTTGTTGAATGAATAAATGAAGTCATTCTTTAGAATGGTACAATTCTAGAAGTGGTTAACAACCAAATGAATGCATGCAGCACTTCATTCTACAAATAATGATTTCTGAGATTTAAGAAACAGACGATCAAATTTCAAGCTAGAATTTGAAAAGGAGAATAAACACGGTATCTATTTTTTTTCTAGACCAAGGAGATGTAATTAATAATTAATCTTCTTTTAATGGCTGGGAAGAAGTTCATGATTTGAGGACCTGCTGATGGTTTACAATGAATATCGATTTGGCCCGACTGAGAGCGTTGCCAGGGCAACAGCAGTTTTTGATCACGTCAAATTACAGCAGTTATCTCACTGGGTGTCAGTTTTCCTAAGAAGTTAATTGAAATTGAAAAACTATATCCTTAGGTCAAGGTTTGACTTTTCTTTGGTTTCATGCAATTTGTCAGACCAAAAAAGAGAGAAAAACCGGACGATCCTGGAAAATAATACAATGTCTAGATTTTGGAGAGAAGTCAGAGCCCATGCTGTGAGTTCTGGAGACCTTTTGGCCTCAAAACTGAGAGCAGCCCAGAGACCTGGGCGGGGGTATGTAGGGAGGATACCTGCGGTTCGTCCGGGGTGTGCACGAGTAAAACGTGGCGAAATAGGAAGGGGGAGGCACTGGCGGCACAAAGTCGTCAGGGTCTGGGATGCGTCTGTGTTCCTCCACTTCTTCCGCAGAAATCTGGGATTCATCCTAATTAAACAGCACCTCGGTTAGTCAACAGCTCGGGGAGAAAAGCAACGGATGACACAAAAAGGTCCGAGGGTGGGATCAGTGGAGTCACAGACACCCTGCCACCTTGCATGGACTTACGACGCAGGATCTTCTGGCTGCAAAGATCTGAAGGTAGCGAAGGGCAGCTGCCACCAAGCAGACGGTGGTGGTCAGGGCATTCAAGGCACACAGGGCGAAAAGGACTTTCTGGAACCGGGAAACAATGACGCACCTGAGTACCTCAAAACTGAGGACCAGAATGCAACATAGAAACTTTAAAAAATAATAATAATACTGCCCCAAGGAAGACACTTCCCATGAGAAAATGCATGTAAAGGACTTAGATGGTGTTTGGCTCATGCTGGGTGCCAAACAAACGCTGGTTATTATTAACACTGTCATGCAATAGTGTGGTGTGTACTTCTTAATTTTAAAAACTTATCTTAGAAGATTCCTGTCCCGGGCAGCCCTGGTATTACCATATTTCTTTTTGCATCAGAATCCTGTCTGGAAATATCCCTTCCAGGAAAGTACTGAATTTCTCTTCTGAAGTCAGTGTACCCAGTGATAGCAAATCCCAACCTCCCCGCTCCCACAGACTCCCACCAGGACAGCACGCTGCTTAATTCGTGGCCACTGATTCTATTTCAGGGGCCACTGGCAGAGCTGCCCCGGGCACCCAATGAGGACAACACAGGGGGCAGGCTGGCCCGAGTGTCAACAGGGCTTGTCTCCTCTAAACACATGTCTCAAAATAGCAGCAGAGCTAATTCCAAAAGTTTCTGTTGCCACAGTCCTGGCTGCTTAGCGGGGCTTTCCCCAAGCGAAGTCCTGGCTCAGAAAGTTTGGGAGTGACTCAGCTACCGAAAATCCAGAAGCCAAAGAAAGAAGGCCATTTTCACAGCCTCCAAAACTCGGAGAGCTGACAGCTTCTCTCTCTTAGAGACTCCTCTTCCCCACAAGAAAATAAACCCAAAACAAAGATCTAAAGAAAGCCATCAGTGACGGACCATCCAAAAGCTAGTATCTCAGGGTTCACCAACTAAGCTTGTCACTCACTGGGCTAACAGACCTTAAGTCAGGACATGATTTTTATCCAATTCCCTAATCAAGGTTAATTTTGTATTTCTCTTCAGCTGGTATCATTTGTTTTTCATCTCTTTCGCTTAGTATAGTTGCGGCCTATTAAACAAGAGGTAGTGTCTTGAATTTCTCTTGTATTTTCTGGCCAGTACATCTCCTTAGTCTATGTGTTTTAGAACGGCAGCACTCAACAGCCTACAGGATTCATTTAAGCCAACAAAGGAGCATTAGAACAATAACAAATGGGCATGGACTTTAGAGGTTCTGCTAAAACTACATCTTATATGTGTAGCTACAGCATGGGTGTGTATGTGTGCATATGTGTGCATGTATATGTATATGTAAATTCACATACATACACATATACATGTGTATGCATTTAGGCTCCTTTACATTTTTTACTAGCTTATAATTCTTGAGCACAAAGAAGCTATCCATTCATAACTTAAGAGAAACACAATAATCTGTGGGTTCTCAATTCTGTCTCTAGGTCACTGATAAGGAGTCTCTCATATCTGCTTTCAACAGGATTATTTGAAGGAGGTAAAAGAGGAGGAATATTTCAGGGAGCTTTGCCTTCCTTGGGGTCTCTGTGGTGGTGGGGGGGGGTGGAATCTATTCCAGATACCTTGAGTAGAAGGTGAACAGCACTACAAGGCTGAACTGGGAAGAGTTTCAAGGCATTTTCTTTGTCTGTGCATTTGGCTGGTTGAAATTCTTCACAACAGAAGCAAATCTTGCCTTCACCTAAGTCCACCTTAAGGGGAAAAGGCAGAACAACAATTTAATTATTAAGTAAGAATACACAGGCCACACCATGGAACAACAGTCCTACAGAATGAGATATGGCAGGGTTCAGTGTCAGGCAACATCTACATCAGTCAGGACAGCCTAGGGTATGCTGGGTAACAACCAGCCCCCAAATTTCAGTGGCTTAATCAACCAAGGTTATTTCTTGACTATGCTACATGTCCACTGCAGGTCAGCAGAGGGCTCTGCTCATCATATTCCCTTAGGGACCGAAGTTGATGGAGCATCCACTATCTGAGGATTGAGGGTCACTATGCTAGAGACATGGAGAGCACATGATGAATTGCACATTGGCACTTAAAGCAGGTTTACAAGGTAAAAGGTAGGACACTCAGTTAAATTTGAATTCAGATAAACAGGTCATTCCTTAGGGTCAGTATGTCCCAAATATTGCATGAGATGTGTTTATAGTAAAAAACTATTACTCTTTATTTGAAATTCAAATTTAATTTGGTGTCCTGTGTTTTCACTTGCTAAATCTGGTCACCCTAGCTTAAATCTTCCTCTTGGAAATGACACTCCTCACATGAGCTCAGTTTCATTTCCAAAGTAAATCATACGGCTCCACTTAATCCAAGAGGACAAGGAAGTTCAATCTACCATGTGCCTGGAAGAAGCACAAGGTCTTTTTGGTGAACAGTAGCCCTAAACCATGTAGGCTTAAAGAGATCTCTTAGTTCACATCTTCAGTGTGTTCATAGATTCTAGTAGAAGTTTTCTTTTCTTTATTTGAAGTGATAAAATTACTGATGAGTAATCTTATATATTTTTAGTGAGATGCTTTGCAAACTTTGGGTCACTTTTCCAAGTTTCCATTGAGTCAGGTTGGGAACATATGAACTAGCTGATTTGGGCTAATAAGACCCATAATTTGGGAGCAGAGGTTCATTCTTACTTGCTCTGCAGCTTGAGCTGTTAAAGTTGGCTCTTCTATTTTGGCTAAAAAGAAAGGCCACACCTCTTTCATACTTGTTAAATTAAACAGGAGGCTTTGACTTCACTAGCTGCAAAATTCTTCAGGAATCTTTAAGAATGACTGAACATTTACAATGCTTTTGTTGCTTAACAGAAAAAAAAAAAAAAAACCTTTTTTCTCATTGAATTAAGATTCTTATCCTCTAGTCATAGTGGAAAATTTCATGGTATTTTCCATATTAGGAGGAAACTTAGTCCCTTCTAATATAAGTTGACTAGGAAGCCAAAGGGAAAAATTTGTACCACTGGATTACACAATTTTTGGTTTGGTTTTCTTTTTCTTTTGAACTGCAGTTTACATACACAAATCATAAGCACACCATTCAAGGAATTTAGAGCCATGCATATACCTCTGTAATCCAAACCCTTATCAACATACAGAACATACTATCACCAGAGAAAATTCCTTCGTGTCCCTTCCTATGGATCCCTGCCCACACCCTCCAAAGAGACAACCACTGTTTGGATATTTTTTTCCATATAGATTAGCTTTGCCTCTTCCAGAGTTCCATGAATCCTACAACATTTTTTATTCCTTGTCCTTAAATCATATTGAAAGGGACGCATTACTAAAATAAACACGGATGCCCAAATTTTATATAAATTTTGCCTCTGATACAAAGAATTACATCTAGAGTTACCTCGATGGCCTCCATAATCTATCAATTCACAACCACTTTGGTTTCTGTCCTTTCCTGGTTTGTCCACAGAGACTGTTATCTCAGCAACGTCCCCACACCTAGATCCACGACTCCACACACAAAGGCACAAGGCTGTTTCTATTTGAATTTTTCTTTCATTGTCTCACATTTTTGAAGGTACATCCTGCTGCTAATATCTAGATTCTTGGCTTCTAAAGGAAAACTACTGTGGACATTCAGACAGGACTTCCCTAGGCTGGTGGGAACTATTCTTTCCCCTCAGGGATCGCTGACTTTCTCTTCGCTGCTCTTCCATAGTTAATCATATCCTTACACCAGGCTAAATTCATAAGGTAAATATTACTCCCAATGGGCTTCCTCCTTGAAAGTCTCCTGCTGAGAACTTCCTGTTTTAATACTAACAGCATTATTTAGTATAACAAAGAAGCACCTAATAGAGATGATTCACTCTTCTCATGTCTCCATTCTGTTCATGTACACAAGGCCCTCTCTCACCAAGCAGGAACCAAGCTCACATTTTTCAACGCGACACAGTGCAATTTCCATTTCTTATATTGTATAAGTCTCAAGATCTTACCTGAGGACTTCACCTCCCCTAGGTAAGACTAGGTGTCATCTTACAAAGTACTCCCTTCCCACATGAGTCCATTCTTAATCCAAGGCATTATTTTAAGACAGAAACCAATCCTGTGTGGGCTACACATACAGAAACCTCAGCTCTCTGGAAACTTTGGATGGCAAAATTTTCCAGCTAAGTGATAATTAATCCCTTTAAACAAAGGATCTTATCTGAAAGTTAATCACTATGCAAACAATAATGAATATCTCTCACTGTGCCCAGCTGATATAGGAAAGCCCTGAGGCTTTGTACAAAATGATTCTAGGCAACCGTGCCTTTTGTGTTCCTCATTCTTCCTGTTTCTGACCCTTCACCTGCCTTCTTAATCCCATCTGCCCAATACTTCTGAAAACTTATTCTAACTTCTCTTCAATGTCTTTAACCATCTGCAAACAACCCTGTCGCATCTCCCCATTCTTAAATGAAAAACATCCCTCTTTCATACTTGATACTATTACCTGAAGCTGTCAGATGCTCTCCTTCCTCCCCTCATCAATCACTATTATGGCTCTCTATCCTAGCTGCACATTAGAATCTTCTGGGAAGTTTTCCCAAAAATGACGATGCCATCTTTAGCAACTAGGGAACTGCAAATTAAAGTAACGATGAGATCTCGGCTTAGCCCCATTAGACTGGCAAAAAATTAGAGGGTAACACTTGTTGTAGGTAGAGGGTTACTGGTAGAAATGTAAGTTAAAGCTCTTTAATAAAGGAACTGTCCATACATTTTAAATTAAATAGCTTTATTCCCAACCACTTCGGAAAACTGTTGAGCAGTTTCTTTTAAAGTTAGACATACGCTTACCACGTGACCCAGCAATTCCATACTTATGTATTTACTCAAGAGAAATGAAAACAGGCCCCCCAAAAAACATTATACAAAAATGTTCACAACAGCTTTGTTCATAACGCCCCTAAACTGGAAACAACCCAAATGCCCATCAACAGGAGAACTGATAAAACAAACTGTGCAATTTTTATACAATGAAATATTGCCCTGATTAAAAAAAGAGAGAGAACGGAAGAGCAAACAACTGATATGACCCAAAAACATGGATGAATCTCAAAAACATCATGCTGAGCTAAATAAGTCAGACACAAAAAGGTACATGACTCCACCTGCATGAAGTTCAAGAACAGACAAAACTAATCTATGGTGAAAGAAACTGGAACAGTGGTTGCTTATGAGAGAGTTGAGACCGCCTGAAAGAAGACAGCAAATAACTTTCTAAAGTGATAAAAATGCTCTAGATTTTGTCTGGGGTGTATACATGAGTGTATTTGTCATGATGAATGTATACTTTGGTCAAAACTTAATGAACTGCACACTTGAGATCTGGTCATTTAGCTATAGATTTTATCTCAGTTTTTTTAAAAAATGGATAGAATCATCAAATGGTTGAATGTGCTATAAAAAAAAAAAATGAGACAAACAGAAGAACAATCGTTGTCCTGGGAGCCTACTCCGCTTAGGTCACAGCCCCGATGGAGATCTGCAGAATAGTATTCATAGCAGCACTGCTTCTACCTGTCAAAACCCAAACCACAATGGACAAGAAAATAGAGAACTGACTTGTTCAAAGGAAAAAAGGGTGTTAGAGCTGTACCTAATACATCTTTAAGTGAGAAAAACAATATGCAGGGAAGTGCATACAAAAGCTGCCATTTCTAAAGAATAAGTCGTGAACAACCCCACCCCATACACATCTACGTAAGGTTACATGAGCATGAAACATGAAAGGAAATCCCCCAGCTTGTTACCGTGGATTCAGGGTGACTGGTGTAGATGGCAAGGCAAAGAGGGAAGGAGAGAATCCCTTCCTCAGAAAGACTCCACTTGCCAAGTACGTTCCCTAATGAAAAACAATTACAATATGGTCCTGTTGATGAAAAATTAGGTGTGTTTTTATCCATAAAGACATGCAAAACACCTGTCAAATGGTTAACTATGATGTCCCCAAATAGTGAGATTTCAAATGATTTTTAAGTTCCATCCTACACTTTTATGGCTTGCCCAATTATATAATCAGAAACAATCCCAGAGTTGGTTTTGTGGTGGGAAAATTTTTTAATTAAAAATACACTTTAGGGCTTCCCTGGTGGCGCAGTGGTTGGGAGTCCGCCTGCCGATGCAGTGGGGGCGGGCTCGTGCCCCGGTCCGGGAAGATCCCACGTGCCGCGGAGCGGCTGGGCCCGTGACCCATGGCCGCTGAGCCTGCGCGTCCGGAGCCTGTGCTCCGCAAATGGGAGAGGTCACAACGGTGAGAGGCCCGCATATCGCAAAAAAAAACACTTTAAAACTTAAAAAAATACTAATGCTAAGACCCCCACTCCAGGGCAGTTGAGAATCTCTGAGTATATGGGGCCCAAGTCTGGGTATTCTTTAAAAAGTTCCCCCAGGTGATTCTACCAGGGAGTCAGGGTAGAGGAGCACAGAATTTCTCAGAAAAGTCAACCATACAGACCCTTATGCCTTGTAATTTGGCTTCTGTTTGTTCCAGAGCCGGCAGTGATCTAACCACTCAGGCTAACTAACTACTAACTAACCACTGCCCTTGGAATCCTCTCCTCTCCTGGCTTTGACCCACTCCCTTTATTTATTTATTGTTCAAGGCCCATCTCAAATACCTACGTTCCAGGTATCCTTTTCCCGTCTTCCCAAGAGTAGAAGTACTTCTTTTGCACCCCCAGAGCACCGTGTCTCACTCTGATGGCTGATCACAGACTCCCTTGCTTTGCAGCTGGGCATTTATTCATTCCCTCCACAAACACTGATCAAGCACCTGCCACGGTTAATCCCACTCCTCTTGCTACGTGATAAACGTCTAGGTCAGAAACAATGTCTGACTTTTCTTTCTACTCTCTGCAGTTTCTAGCATGGGGTCTTGCATATAATAGATGCTACTCTTTTATCGAACTGTCTTTTAAAATACTATGACTTTTCACTTCTAGCTTGTCTGTTCTCTTTGCCCCTTCCAATTTTCTGTGTAATTAGTAACAGGAAGAACAAGCCTTGTTTAAAATTTATTTTCTGGGAACTCTATGTATGTAAAGAAGTCTGTGGGAGGTGCTGCTGAAAACTCCCAAGAAAATACAGAGCCAGACACTGTTCTCAGGAAGATTCCAGACCAGTAGAAGAGAGAAGAAAGGTATATGAATACCTTTAGTCCAAAAAAGGAAAGAGAAATGCTTCAGAGATGTACAGATAGGAATTCTGGAAGATTACCTTCTCTGGGGATGAGGGACTATTTCCTTAAGATCATCGTTGAATGAGGCTTTAAAAGGCTGACACCATTTGGATGAACTAGGAAGTAAGGGACAGGGAATGGTCGGGGGAGAGACAGCATCGTCAGAAACAGGAAAGTAGGGCAGGAGCCTGGGTAATGACATGCGGGCTCGGGCTCCATTACAGGGAGTGTGAGTTGCTGCAGCAGGAGAGCAGGATGAGGGCAAATGATACAGGACCTTAAAAACCAGAAAACACTGTGAGCCTGTGCTTCCAAAACTTACGCTTATTAAGTGAGGGAATGACAAAACTCAAAGCAATTTGTGAAGGATTGTTAAGGAAGAGCAATAGGTTTTCAGTGAGTCCAGGAGGAGCTTTCCTCTCTGGGAAGGCCATGAGTCTCACTGCAAGGACCTGGTCACAGTGCTTTGAGAAATGTGGCAGCCTCCTTCACTTGCATCCTGCTGGTTCTGAAAGGGCGAGATTGCCATGGAACCAAGTTGCAAATAGATGAGGTTTACTACAACCTGTAAAGAGTCCACTTCTTTTGCTTTGTGCCCCAGGGAGATAAGAGGAGGAAAAGTCCTCTTAAAAAGTTCAGAGATGGCCAACAATTCCACCTTCCAGGCATATATTCCACAGAACTGACCCATTTCCGTGGCAGCATTGTTCACAATAGCCAAAAGGTGGAAAGAACCCAAGTGTCCTCCGATGGATGAAGGGTAAACAAAATGTGTCCTCTATATACAGTGGAATATTATCCAGCTTTAAAAAGGAAGGAAATTCTGATACCTCCTACAACATGCGTACATATTGAGCATGTTATGCTAAGTGAAATAAGCAATTACTAAAAGACAAATACTGTATGATTCCACTTATATCTGGTAACAAGAGCAGTCAAATCCACAGCATCAGAAAGAGTGGTTGTTGGGCTTCCCTGGTGGCGCAGTGGTTGAGAGTACGCCTGCCGATGCAGGCAAC